TTGATCCCTTTTTTGAAGAGCCCGTGACAACAAGTCTGTGACCTCTAAAATATGAAACATCAAATGCAAATAAATCACAAAATCAAATGTCTTCAAATATGCTAAAATACCAGTTGCTTGAGTGCGACTAAAACCATTGTCCCCRTCCTCTTCAACATACCGGAGCACTTCAACAACATTCGGAAACAAAGCAATCAAGTTCAAAATGGTTTTGTAATGAGAACCCCACCGTGTATCTCCGGCTCGTATAAGAGAAAGYTCTTGGCATTTCCCTGTTCCAGTATCAATTTCACACTTACCAATTGCTTCTTGTACTCTATCTTTGTAACTTTGTCGAAGCATGTCTTTACGCTTGCAAGAAGCATTCACCACATTGATCACCATTCCTAACATATTAAAAAAGTTCTCAACTCCGTCATGTTTACTGGCAACCGCCACAACAACTAATTGAAGTTGGTGAGCAAAACAATGGATATAATATGCCGAGCTATTTTCATTCAAGATCAAGGCCTTTAATCCATTGAACTCACCCCTCATATTGCTTGCTCCGTCGTAACCTTGCCCTCTTACTTGTTTCAAACTCAATCCATGTTCGGCAAATAAACTATCAATGGCAGATTTAAGAATTGAAGAAGATGTCCCCGTCACATGAACAATACCAAAAAATCTCTCTTTAACAATACCAYRYKCATCAACATATCGTAAAACCACCGCCATTTGTTCCTTCTTAGAAACGTCACTAGACTCATCAACTAGCAATGAGAACACATCATCACCAATTTCTTCACAAATGGATTTGAGTATTTGATTTGCAAAACAAGTAGCAATATCTTTTTGAATACTTGGAGACACCATTTGATTATTCTTTGGAGCATTTTTTAATATAACTTTACCTACATCCTCATTGCAATCACCAATTAAGACTAATGTTTCCAAGAACATGCCTTTAGAGATAGACAGTTCAGATTCATCGTGACCACGAAAGGGCAATGCATTCTTCAACAAGAACCTACAGACCTTAATTGAAGCATCTAATCGTATTCGGTGCTCATTCTTCTCCTTCTCAGTTTGCTTATGAAAGGCAACAGCAATAGATCGATCTTGGCTCATTAGATCCTCACTTTTCTTAAGTGCTCTATTGTGAAAACTATTGATGTCGCCGACATGAAGACCAAGTCTTTCCGTTTTATTCCAACTATTAAAACCATCTRTCACGAAAGCATCACTCCCACATTGTCCTACGTAATGATCTCTAAACAAATAGCAACACAAACAAAAAGCTCTATCCGTTTTTACACTATACTCCAACCAATTAGCATATTGATCAAACCAAGTCGGACAAAAACGTCTTCCTTTACTCCCGACAAATTTTTTTGGAAATGCATGACCCCGTGGTTGACAAGGTCCTCTAAGCAAATATTTTCTCCTTATTTCATCCCTTTGATTAGGATGATATTCTGAAATCTTTTTCCTATCGGCCGGATCCCAAGGAAGAYYATTCAAATCAATTTCGCAAGCCATTGAAGGAGCAGAGCTCGATTCAGGTGTTGATGCTTTCCTTTTAAAAAATCTTTCCATTTGATTTGCCTAATTGCCTACAAAAATAACAAAATTACCTACAAAATTAACCTACAAAATTAACCTAAAGCATTTACCAATTACCACAAAATTAACCTAAAGCATTTAAGTATTTAACCATTTACCATTTACCATTTACCAATCACCACAAAATTAACCTAAAGCATTTAAGTATTTAACCATTTACCATTTACCATTTACCAATCACCACAAAATTAACCTAAAAACTAAAATACTACTAATTGATTAGAAGTAGTCAAACTGTCAAAGCAAGTAAGCAACCAAGTAGTCTGTAGTCAAGTAGAACACTAGTCACTAGAACAGTAGAACTAGAACTCTAGAAGTAGACAAGTAGATAGTACTCAAACTGTCAAAAGCCTCAAAGTCAAAGAAACAAAATAAACTTACAGAAAAGAGGGGAGAGCTCGAGAGCGGAGACTGGAGAGTGGAGAGCACACACAGTGACACAGAAGAAGAAGAACAAGCTCGCAGTCGCAGCCTCTCCTCGGCTCCTCGCAGTCGCAGTCGGTAGTTGGCTGTCGGCGTCGGTCGCGCCTCTCCTCGCCGTCCGCCACAGGCCACAGCGGCGACAGCGCCACTGGATCTGCCGATCTGGATGAGGATGAAGAACAAGAGAAGACTGAAGAAGAAGAAGTCGAAACCCACTTCACCGGCACCGCACCGCTGCTTGCCTGCTTCACGTCTTCAATCACAGATTCACAGGCTCGTTTTGCAAGTTGCAATTCAAAGGGGCCTCCTACCTCATATTGTTGGGGGCCCAATTACATCTTAAAAAAAATTACAAGTAAAATATTTTTTTTTGGGTTTTCCTGTTTATTTTTTGTTGGGGGCCCAGGACCCCAACCACATTAAGCTGCGTCCGCCCCTGCGTTTGCTAAAGATAATCATACAACAGTCATCTTGTTCATGACCCACAATCAATTTTTTCGACTAGTTTTTATTAACATCTCATAGTGATTCAATTTATACCAAATTTTCACTGGAATACCCGTAACATTTTAAAACTGTATTGATTTTAGGGTTGTATTATTTGATATTTCGATGAAACCACCATTAATAATGGTTGACGACAATGACTATTACATAAAAATGTGGTACAATGATATCGGTTTTTGTATTGCTTTTACGAAACATGACCATTGTATTATTGAGAACTTTTTTTATCATTATGCCCCGAAACAAAATTTCTTGACCTCCATACTTTCTATGTCCCAACCATTTTCTATATTCATGGATTGTATTTTGACCTTCATGGCATCATGATATTTATCAGATTCCAATCCGATATTTGATTTGTTGGATTTTCTACATTTGAAATCCTGAGATTTAATTGAAAATCTTTCAAATATAGGATTGTATGCAATAAGGTTTTAGAAAATGTTAAAAACATTTGTTTTGTAAAAATCAATTAATAAAAATGTAATTTAATTGTTTTTATAATTATTTATGAATAGTGAAATCTAATTCCATTCCAAATCCTACAAACCAAACACACCGATGATTTCAAATCCATTCCAATCCAAATCCCTCAAAATTCAAATCCCTCCATAAAATCTGAATCCCTAAAAAACAGTCCTGCAAACTAAACGGTCCCTAAGTTTTTAAATATATGTTGGGCCAATTGGTAGTAAAAAGATGTCGAACATACATATAATAACAATTTTTTTTACGATATTGATACTTATACCAATATATTTGATATAAAGTTAGAACCACTAACATAGGTTTAATTAATAATAAAGTAAGAGGCTGTTTATAACTGCTGACCAGACTGATTCGATCAGCAAATTTGACTTGGTCAACAGTCAACGCATTCACCAAATCATGTGTCTGACCGAAAACTGATCCAGACGTTGACCGGATCTAGCCAACACCAAATTGATGCTTACCCATGTCAGTTTCTTTGTTTCCTTCGTTTCCCTTCCCTTGCGATTTGGTTTTTCACCCAAAAACCATCGCCGCTCCTCCTCCTTCCTCCCGCTATAAAGACCATCGCTCCTCCTCCTCCTATATCCCTTCTCCCTCGTCGCTCTCGTCCCTCTTTATGTCACCACGTCGTCTGTTTCACACAGTCACACTCGATAAGGTATGATTACAATTTTTTTGAAAAAATCTAGCTCCCTTTGTTATATTGAAGATCGTTTTTGTTCGATTAAATTATAATATCATTGATTTGTTGGTTTGAATTATTATATCACTAATCTGAGTTTTTTTGTTGGTATGATTGCTTTTAGGCTTTGTTTTTGCTACATCTCTTTTCTCTTTCTGCTACTTTGTGTGTTGTTTGCATTACCACTTCTCTTTTCTAGTTATGTGTTCAACACCATGGAATCAAGAAAAAGGATTGTTATTTCCCAGATCTGACAGTAGAACGATTTACACTAGAAGTTTGAAAGAGTAAGTAAACAAGAAGATTAAACAGAGAAATAGCGGCTGCTTTTCTATTATTGAAAATAAAGATTACAAACTCTCAAGAAACCCTAATCGACTCTCATATGATTTTGAATCTATCTATTACAAAGAGAAATCTCTTGGTGCTCT